TGTAGGAACCACTTTATTAGGGACCCCTACCTCGTACCACGTAGGAACCACTTTATTAGGGACCCCTACCTAGTACCACGTAGGAACCACTTTATTAGGGACCCCTACCTAGTACCATGTAGGAACCACTTTATTAGGGACCCCTACCTCGTACCACGTAGGAACCACTTTATTAGGGACCCCTACCTAGTACCACGTAGGAACCACTTTATTAGGGACCCCTACCTAGTACCATGTAGGAACCACTTTATTAGGGACCCCTACCTAGTACCATGTAGGAACCACTTTATTAGCTAGTACTGTGACTGTGTGGATCACTTAACCTAAGTAAAACTGGCCACTGAGTGTATATTTTTCAGTTAAGTAGCAGTTCCTTTTTCATTTGAAGAAAAAACACCTGTGTTTTTATTATTTTTAAACATAGTTAATTGCAGAAGTATGTAATCACCATGTAGTCATTCCCACATCGACTTACCTGTGTTAGGGTCAGCGGGCAGCCTGAAGCCTAGCCAGGTGGGGGCACAAGGATGGGACAACCCTGGACAAGATGCCAGCCCATAACACTGTGTAACAAGGGGGTAAACAAGCCAGCTAATGTCTGTTTTCTTGCTTGTTCCAGCTGTTGAAGGGCAGTTACTGACCTCCGCCCACTTGATCTACATGGCCAGTCAGGTGGCTGAGGGCATGGCCTACCTAGAGGACCGCTACATCGTCCACAGGGACCTTGCGGCCCGAAACATCCTGGTCGGGGAAGATCTGGTCTGCAAGGTGGCCGATTTCGGGCTCGCTCGCATTATAAGGGTAAACTATATTACTGTTAAATTACCTTCTTTTTTTTACGTTAAATTACTAGCATGTATTCATGTGTTTGTATTTACGGTGTGCTCATCTCATTGTACAAAAATGTGCTGAAGTTGAAAAAGTGAATAGAAATATCTACTTCTAAAGAAAAAGGGGGTGACTCCACAAATATAGACTATCATAAGGACACATTAGATCGGTTTCAGTCAGTAATAACTAATGCAATAGTTTTAACGCGTTCCTAATACCCTGGAAATGTTTCGTTTGTTCACAGAATAACAGACGAATCTGTTTTCGTGTGGTGGTGGTTTTTTTTTAAAAAAGATTTCCATATAGATTTTTTACTAAATATGCTTCTCGATTATACGGTACAATTCAGGAGCTTTCGTCTGAAGGAATACAGCAACGTAGCTTCACCTTAATTGTATACAGACACTGAAAGGTTAAGTCACGGTTCAAGTTTCGCCCTAGGTAATCTTTTATTACTTTATTACATACCCATGCGTGTCTCGACGAGCTGAAATGAGATACCACGAATGCGTTACCCCTGCATTCTGTCTCCCCCTACAGGACAGCGTGTATACTGCAAGCAGGACCACAAAGATCCCTGTTAGGTGGACGGCGCCAGAGGCGGCCCTGCACCAGCGCTTCTCGGTCAAGTCCGACATCTGGTCCTTTGGCGTTCTACTCTACGAGATGATGACGAGGGGGAAGCTACCTTACGACGGTGGGCGTACGAACGATTAGCTGGGAAAACGAACAAATAAAATAATAAATAAATCGGTCAGCGGGTAACACTTCTCTTTGTTCCACAGGTAAGACTAACAAGGAGGTCATAGAGCTCTTGACCTCAGGGTACAGACTGCCTTGTCCGTCGCGCTGCCCAGCCAACATCTACCACATAATGATGCAGTGCTGGAACCCCGAGAGCGCACAGCGACCCTCCTTCCATGCGCTGCACAGCCAACTGGACAAAATGTACTCCAGGCTGTATTACAAGACCGTTGATGTGTAGGGACAGCCGAAGAGCACGCGACGAGGGACACGCGCGCGCCGCTGGATGGACGGACCACGTGTGCGCGCGCTTGTTTCCCTCTACTGAATAATCATTTTGAGATGTTTATTTTTTTACATCGGCACTTGCCGGTTTTAAGCTTATAGTGAATGCAGGTTAACGTTGTTTTTCACGCGAGGAAATGTGCAATACAGACCAGGAATTTAATCTCGTGAGGGGGGGGGTAAATTCTTCTTCGTTGTCGTGGACTTCTGAGGGTCGATTTGGATCTACTCTTACAAGGTGTAAGTTTGGTACACAAGAGAGTGCTTATGTTTACAAATTCATCCAATGCCAACTGTACAAAAATGATTTTTGTTGGGGGGGGGGGGGGGGGTGAGGAGGGTTGACCAGAGAAATTTTGACCAGTGCAATGCGGCTCTGGAAGATTAAAACATTGTAGCTTTTCTGGAGCTAAGAAATTAAAGTATGAAATAAATGGTATTTAAATACTTTATGGTATTTGACAAATAAAAATATCAAGATATCAGCTTCCTCTCAATTCTACTTTGATGTGGTCAAACGGGTTTTAGACGCTTAAGTGTCGTAATGCAAGATTTTCCGAGGCTATCAAGCTGCACCCCCAAATATATTTATTTGTTCGTTTGTTCTGGGTAAGATACAATCTCTTACCGTCAGCTACAAAGTGCGACTTTATTGTTATGGTCTTCAAAATGCCACTGATAAGGAAGCCTTCGTAAATCCTGCCATTCAGGTGATATCGTCTTCGAAGCAGCATTTGGGCACGCCGCCTAGGCGTGGTGGTGACAAGGAAGTGGATTAGTCTTAACAGCTGACTGCATGCGAGAGATGAGCATTGATCAAGCGACTGCCTGCAGTGGAGGCGGACGAGCCGGGCGCCCTCATGGTTCAAGCGCTGAGTAATGTCCGCTCCTTCCTGCGATCTGTCTGGGAAAGGTTATGCTGTAGATCGAAAGACAGGGTTGGGGATGACCCTGACATCGCGAGTCATCAAAAAGACGGGCAACAGGATCCCACCCGGACTGTCCCGGACAAGACCCAGGACGATGGGGACTTAGAACCGCGCTATTTTGTCCAACCCGTAGAAAGTGCGCTTTACAGGGCGCTGTGGCCGTTTGAATCCCGGGACAAGGATGAACTGTCCTTCCAAGAGGGGGATCTCTTCAGAATAGTCCTGCGGAACGGAGACTGGTGGATGGCCGACAAACTGGACACGATGGGACGCGTCGTGGGGAAAGGATTCGTGCCTTATAATTACCTGGCATCTGGTCAGTCCGTCGAGGGAGAGCCGTAAGTATCCCGCTTTATTCTGAGATTGATTATAAAAAGCAGTAACGTTTTTCATAAAATTTCTTATCACACTTGTCACTTATTATACCGTTGGATCTTAAGGCAGCGGTAGGTTTTGATTCGTATTTGTTTATTGCTCCTGTTGAAATGTAATTATACACAACTGAGCTGTCATCTGATGTCTGACCGTGACTCCATCTCTATTTTTTTGTTTCTAACTCATCGTTACTTTACGCTTTGTTATAATAAACCGATGTGCCTCTTATTTTCCACTAAAATGCTAAAACGGCGGCCTGTGGAATGTAATAAAATAACTGCTAGGGATATAGGCTATGTTTAAACGTTTTAGGGAACCGAAAGACTGGTTAACTAGTGTTGCTGTGTTTTGTGATGCACAAACAAATTAAATTTAAATGGAAACCAGCATACCAGACGCTAGCGGATTTAGGTACAGGTGAATTCAGCAACCTATGCTACTTAAGAAAAAACCAACAACCAATTAAAACAAACAGTGCTAAAAATTATGCTATAACAGGGCTTGGTCTTCAACAACTGTTTTCATTGGTGCGACATGTTTACGATACATGTGCTCAGAATTTCAAGACCGCATGGCAGGTGGACCGACAAACGAAGTAACTCTTTCTAAAGATAAGGCTGCTATAGACGCGTATAATATGGTGGATTGTTCAAGATGTTGTGTTTTAGTAAAAGAGGTCCGGAAATTGTTTTAAAAATAAAGCACATTTTTGAAAAAATATATTGTTTTTTTGTTGGGTTTTGGCTTTAGTGCTGTTCCATTTTTGCTGAAGGTGCAGTAAAAGCGGGACAGTACTTTTCAGGTAAAATGGGACACATTTTTACATGTAAATAATGTAGATCGGGGGTGCCCAACTCGTCGATCGCGATCGCCCGGTGTTTCTAGGTAGATCGCGGTACGATAAGAAGGTAGGCTAATACTTTATTTCATTGGTGGCGAACCGGTCAATTGCGATCGGCCGAAAACACAAAGGGAACTGTCGGCAATATAAACCAAGGGATGTTTC